ATATTATTCTTGAAAAATTTTTCTGATTTTATTTAAATCTTCTTTTCTTTTCTTAAAATATGTGTTTTAGGAACACAAGAAAAAAAACATGCATTCATGTATACTAATCTATCACTTTGAATGCCATGATTTGCTCTTCGTCAAGTGCTTTAAGAACAGTAACCTTGATCTGACCGTCGCCTTTACGGAACTTGTCGAGCAATCGACGGGCCATATCCGAATCTTTATTTATTTTCATATCACTACGTATATTACACGTATCTTCATTAAGTAAAGTAACATAGCCATCCTTATCAATGCTGACAACAAGATAATCCTTTTTACCAACTTTTGGCACTTGAATGATATGCCCTGCTGGACGAACATCTTCATAGCGACGACCTGTATATATATCAATGCCAACCAAATGAACCTTGATAAAAACAAAATAAATTAAAGAGAGGAAGATAAATAAATTATTTAAAAACCTTTGCATGACCATGTTTTCCTGGCTTAGAATGTGTTACTTCAACTACTTTTAATGGACGCCCGTTGAGCACGACAAAATCTGACTTTTGGATAGAGCCAATATCTTGAGGACTCGTATCCATATTCGTATCAGCCGAGTCGTCATACGAGGCGATGGGTTCAGCAAAGTTGAAATCAAGGGACGTCATGTCCAATATAAAAGACGAAAGACAACTAAAAAACGTTAAATTCACCGATAAAACAATTCTACAAAAGCTCACTCTTTATATACTTACTGAAAAAGTCTTGCAGATCAGTTGAGTAATTTCAAGTCTTACATAATTACAAAGAAAAAAACGACGCAATTTTCTTCTGTTTTTTTTTGCGTTGTATATCATGTGCTTGCGAAGAATTTCGAAATTACATGAATAATAGGAGGAACGCATAATAAATCTGTTTGTCGATAAAAACAAATTCAAATTTTAGTAACATTGTTAAAAATGTATATTTAAGTTGGATGTTCAACGAGATATCAATATTTATTAAAACATATTGGTTGAGAAATGAACGTACTTTTTTTGGTCAGTGAAACATCAATATGCCTTATTCGTGAATTGCTTGTTGACCATGCACAAGCATAAAAAGTGATTATGTAAAAACTTATTTGTTGCTAAGGGTGGTACTTTTTCTTTCATTTCCTTTGCTCAATCGTCTTGCTAGTAACCAGATGATCGAAGAAAGAGAAATGAAAGAAAAGTTATTAACCTTAGTAACAAATAAGATTATATATAGCCACATAATATGCATGTGCGTGACTAACAATTGATTCACGAATCAGGTTCATTGCATATTCTATCAATTATTTAAACGTTAATCGAAATGTATATCATTGAGCGTAACAATTTCGGTAAATTCAGTGTTGATCAATCTATGCCATTTATTTAGCAACACTATTTTGTATTGACATTATTTGCAAAGCTAGTACATTTCTTCTATGACGATCTGCTATCTATCTTTTTATTTTTTCCAAAAAAAAACGAAACTACATATAATCAAAGATACGAATTAATTTTCTTTTAGCAAATATAGGTGCCAACGCTGCCTCCATTCAATGATGCATTATAAACTTTACCATTACATTGTATTTGGAACGTTTGTTTACCAGAATCGTTCTCATTAACAACAATTAATACTTCTCTTTTATCATCTTGTCTTTGGAATGCAACATTTGGAAGACTTGATACAATGTTTGATCCAATTCTTATTGAATTCGGACGAACAAATTTAGCTGCATGTGCAATAATATAATATGCAGGATTTCGTGGTGATAAAACTTGATTTTTATCAATTGTTAATGCACCTAAACATAATGTACATCCACCAGGTGTATGTGGTTGTAAATTTGGATCAGCCGCTAAATTCCATTCTAAAACATTTCGAGCCCAATTTCGAGTTGCACCAACAATAAGATTTTTTACATGCCAAACTAAATCACCTTTCAGATTTCCTGGCGAACCAACCCATTGTTCAGTAAAATATAAATTTTTATCTGGATATTGATCATGTACAAAAGATAAAGCATCAATAGTTCCACCATATAAATGAAATGCTGATCCATCAATATATTGTCTTGCTTCAGGATCTTTCAATACTGTTATTGGATAATCAGGACGATCAGCATTATGATCATAGATAATAATTTTTGTATTAATTGAATGTTTTCGAAATGCTGGACCTAAACTTTGTTTAATAAACAGAGCTTGAAAAAAATCTAACATTAATAATGATGGATTATTTCCTGGATGTAATGGTTCATTTTGAACTGTAATAGCATCAATAGTAATACCTTCTTTTTTCATTTCTTGAATATAACGAACAAAATAAAGTGCATAAGCATCATAATATTCAGATAATAAACTTCCTCCAATACTATTTTTATTTGTTTTCATCCATATAGGTGGTGACCATGGTGATCCCATCAGTTTTATATTAGGATTAATAGCTAAAATTTCTTTTAAAATAGGAATAACATGTAATCGATCATGTCCTAAATCAAAACGAGTCATATTTAAATCAATTTCACCTGATGGTAAATCATTATATGAAAAAACAACTTCATCTAAATCAGATGCACCAATACTAAGACGAAGATAACTGACACCTATATTATTTTTATCTGTATTAAATAATTCTTGTAGAATTTGAGCACGTGTTATATTATCAAGATTATGCAAATGCATTGCACTACCTCCAGTTAATGTGTAACCAAAACCATCAATGGTTTGATATGTTTTATTTTCGTTGATATTAATAATAACATCGTTGATTTGATTATTACTGTTAGGTGAAATGAATGGTTGTTGTTGGAAAAGAATCTTTGCATCAGGATCCGTTAACCAAAATTCTATTTGTTGAGCATTTGAAATAGCATTAGTGATAAGAACAAATATTAAAGCCAACAACATCTTTCTTTTCAGTATAATAACACGTAAATCTGTCTTGTTCTGTTGATATTTATAGTTTATTGATAATAATGGTATTTATTTTAGATTATTGAAGATTTTCGTCTTTTATGTTAACCTTTATAGATCTTTAAAGTGTATTTTTTCCTAGATATTGACTAGAACTTGATGTTTTTATTATGTTTTTAATAATGAAATATGACCCTTTCTATAAAGTGATGAAAGAACGACGAACTTTGAAAGACAAGAAGCATCATTGTTGATTTAATTCTATCTTCTCTTGAATTTGAAGATCAAATATTTCGCTTAAATTAAGTTTATTTTGTCATATACTTGAAAGCTATGAATGAAAACAATTTAACACTAAAATTTATTCGACTACTTACTTTATGATGATATAAAGTTCTCAATAAAGTACTAAAGAATTCATATTTTGAAACTTAAGGTAAATATTTACATACTGAATCATTTGTGATAATATTCGAAGACATTTGAGATTCTTTAATTCCTTACAATTTTTTTCAAGAGATTGAATTGTGAAATTTTCCATGAAACATATGTTCATTTTACAACGAATCTCTAATCAAAACGTTTTCTGTTTCAGCAGTATTTTTTCCACGTAGACATGAAATTAAGAGATGCAAAATAAGCTTTAGCTAAGTCATGTGTCGCTTGATCAAAAGCATTTGTAAGATATGATTCATAGCCTGTTGAATTAAAAAATTTTTTGTCTGATTGCAATACTTTCTTCAATTAAGGAGACTACCTTTCTCTTTCCGGGAGTGAAAATCGAAATTTTGCCAATCTCTAGTTTTTCATTCTTAATACAGCCTTGAAGTCTTCTCTATCACATAATATATAAATGAACGATCTTCTTTGTTATTTAGTACTTTTACTAAATCCAACTTTCGAAACATTTCTCAGAAAAGCTTGCACTACAATTATTCTTTTCTATAAAAAATTCGCCTAATGATAATGATTATTTCTCATTGTAAAGGTGCTTACAGTATACGTCATGGTTCCATTACATCGCTGAACACTGTCAGTTTTCAATCTCTTTAGTTGAAGAAAATAATGTTCTAATATATACACGAAAATTTGGTTTTTATTCTTTCCTCGAAATCCATTTTTGAACAAAAGACATGAAATTTTCCCTCAATTTTCTTGCGCACGGTACGCTCGAACAGGCTCAAATTTTTCATGAGTACTTTGGTCAAATGAGAGTGCTTGCTTGTTTTATCTTCAAAATATTGTTCCTGCAAAATTCGGTAGCCTTTGTGAAATTAGTATCATTGATAAAACAAGTTTTTTTTTACAATGCTTCCAGTATTTTGGTTTTGCTGAGCACTAGAAACCATATTTTTGAAAAAAAAAACGCACATCTCGATTTGATCCTAGTTGTCATTAAAAAAAATTGTAGCTCGGAAAAATGAAGTATATCATTTTTCGCGGGGTAAAACTCCTGATCATTTTTCACCTATGCGACTCCCATATCTTCCTGAAGAAAGCATTTAGAGGTTTTCGCATCTATGACAATTTTTCCTCTACTTATCGAAATCTATCTGTCTTCGAAGTTTCATAAATTTTCGTTGAGCTGTTCTTGAAAGGAGGGATATTTTAAAACCAGACTTGTTTATGATTGTTGATTGAAGTTTTTGTTTCAAACATATTTGCATTGTTAATTATATTATAAAGATAACTCTTTTCAAATCAGTTTCTGTGTTTTCTACGAATAGACGATTTCACCTATAGAACAGTATACATTGTCATAGTTTTCAACTAATGTATGAGTTAGTAAAGCATGTGAAAGGGCAGCATTGACCTTATATTTCCCATTAAATCTTCTCGACATTTTCTTCTTTAAGTCAGACGATGGAGTTTTATGTTTTATTTAGTGTTAAAATTTCCAATGCATCTATGCATGTTTTTGTTTTTTAAGAAGAACACGTATATGAGTGACTAATATCATCACTTATATGTAAACTATCATCTATTTCTTACCATTATTTTGCCACATCTCTATATAAAGTTGGTCCATTATTCAGCAAAATTTTACTTAATTCTATATATTGTTATATATTCATGTGAAATATGGCCACTGATATTGCTTCATCTTTCACCCTATGTCAACATATAGCAAAAGAGAATGAAGAGGAATGTCAAGAGGAACAATATTCAGTAAGCCAACTATTTGTTTCATTCCAATTGTAGTGAAATTTCTATCTTTTGTAATAGCTTTGTCCGCATTGTGATTTATGGCTTTGTATTCCACACACAGCTGACCATCAACAAATTATACAGACCAATGCTCATGAATTCAATGATCGTGTCAATGAAGTGCGCCAACAGTTAACTGAACTGTCCATTGATTGTCTTTATGAAGATTGCAAGAAGAAAATAGACGAATGGAAAGATCGAATGCACGCAGAAATCAATATTCGACATGATGAAATGGTTCAACAATTGACTAAGTTATACAATGAACTCGCAGAAGAAGTAAAAGAATTTAAACTGAAAAAGATTGAATCATTTACGCACGATATTGTTGAACCACTTACTCATATGCTTACCAAACAAAAACAAATTCATCCGAAAAGATTAAAAACTTTGGTAACACAATTGCAGTCTCTCGAGGAAAAAATTGCAGATATTAACAAGCCTAATTTAATTCATATGAATTGTGATAAAGTAAAATTAAGCGAAGAGATCAATTTTACACGGCAGCATCCATGCGATGAAATAGGGGTAGTATTGGAGAATCGTCAATCACTAGAACTTGAATGTGTACAGAAGAAAGAGCTTCATCGCTTTCCACTAAACACAAAAGTTTCAGCATTAGCAGCATCAGCTAATTACATTCTGGCGTTTGAAAGGCCTTCAACATTACTTTTATTTGATAACAAAACTCAACTTCGATCTATTGATACAAAAGGCGACTCGGTATGGGATATTTGCTGGTCTGATACCATGAAGCTCTTTCTGATTGCCGGGGCAAAACTTCAAACGTATGATATTATTCATAACAAGATAGTTGAAACACCTGTTAATATTCTACACAATGATCCTCAGATTTGGGCTATTACCAGTTATTTTCATGATGTACTTTTACTAGACGATGAGGGTTTGATTTACCGCTATTCATGGCCTTCGTTCACGCTAAAGGCAACATGGCAAAAAAGCATTTATCTGGAAGATAGTGATTCTAAAGCAGCGTGTATCCGTCTTAATGATATGGGAATATTAGCAATAAGTATTACACAAAAGGATTTACATTGGCGTATAGATTTGTTTGATGCACATATGCAGCGAATTCACCGCGGCGTTCCTCTCACCAACAATGGAACAGCTAATTTGTTGGAGTTTTCGTTTATTTCTCTGACTAATAACGAATGGCTCGTGATGGATCGCAGCTCTAGACCTCAAATGTTAACATTGGTCGATAAAGACGGAAAATTGAAACAACAAATTGAGAAGGAAGGATTGAATGTGGCTCTAATGGGTAGAAGATGTCTTGTTTTACGTGATAATACAGGCTTGCTTCTGTACAAACTCTCATCACGAGCGTAATCTAAAGTAAAAAGACATTAATCAGAAATCAATGAAATAAAAACTAAAATGACAAATAAAACTAGCAATACAAGTTATAGGATGCATATAGGGTAGTATCAATTAGAATGCTTTTGATCTAACTATGATTCAAACATATAAATGAGAAACAAAGTCATATTCAATGAAACATGAATTCATGCGAGAATTAAAGAGTTACATTATTGTATATATTTCAGTTTGTCACTCAAAAATTCATGTTTTTCCAATTGACTAAAAGTTCATTTCTTAGAATTATATTTCCCCAGTACAGAAAGGCTACACTAACTCATAGAGTATTTACTTTTCTAGCATTATAAAAACTATGATGTTAAATTTTCGAATATTAATAATTCATGAATTTCATACAGTATTTGTTGTTTAAAACGTTTATCTTTATTAACTGTGCATTCGTCTTTAGAAAATAAGACTTTGTTGAAAGTCTCGTGAGTTATATTACATATAACTCTTTCTTTCAAATGAAATTTACTTCATTTTTGTTACAATATTGTTATGGAATGCATATCTAGTGTATGAATACAATAGTAATGTAACAATCATTTAAAATCAAATAGTGACATTTGATTTCACAAACATATGTTTCCATTCATTCGTATTTGTGTTACCATCTAATCTTCAAGAAAATTATTCATTGATACTTAACTACCTTTTATCAATCAAATTTTAAAATAAGCAATACCCAAAATTTGTGACTTTTATTCTGCCACATCTATTGGTACAGTATTATATAAGTGGAAAAAAGATGAAAATTTGCAAAAGTAAAGACCAATAAAACAAAAAGCGAATAATTAACTTGAACAAGTAATTTCAAAATAATGCACTGCCTTAAAAGAAACTTTACATCTATTGCTGTGATGATAAAATCAATTGGCTTATTGATTTTACAAAGATCTTTATTCATCATCACTGTCATACACTTAACAGTATGCTTATACAGTCATTATACGAGAAAAAATTGATGATAACGCAAGAACTAATTTAAAATATGAGTTGTCCATAGCATGTACGGAGACTGAGGTATTCGAATTTCAAGGTAGTTACAGTCTATGTCATATGACTAATAGAGCCCGCTGGATTGGTTCCGGACGTGTTTGGAACCGAAAATTTTGGATTCGAAGTGTTCTAGTCACTACACTTCAAAATTTCAGCAGCATTGAATTTTCGTTTATTGTCATAAGCGACGAGAGCTCGGCGAGTTACATAAGGAAAAAACAATATCACCCTTTACCAAAAAGTCCAAGATACCATTATTGTTAATCATAAGAGTGAAAGACAGAAAAAATTTACCTATTGTGAAAAATCGTTTTTAAATATATGTGATCTTTTTTCTCGTGTAACTCGTCAAATTCTATTCAACTATGACGGAAAAAAATCAATGCTGCTGAAATTTTGAAGTGTAACCACATGACATAGACTTCGTATAACTTCAAAGTTGAATACCTCGATCTGAATATGATCAATTTTCTTAATTAACAGCATGTGGCCTTCCATTGTAAGTGAAAACATACACCATCGTCGGGCATGGTTGTTCTTAGTTTATCTCCTACTATCGGTACACCAAATGTTCAAATTTGACAAACTACAGAAGATGAACGTGATAAAATGTAATTACAATAAACTTCAACAAAATTCTTGTAAGAAGACTACAGTAGTAAACTGAGATGTTTCAATAAAACCATTGACACATTTAACAAACAATATATTGTATGTCATTTTAAATTATCTGTGAAAAGCTATAAATATAGTATTTGTCTTCCAACAGCGACAGAATTCATAAAATTCCTCACAAATGTCTGTCAAAAGCTTCAAATCTATTACGTTGAAGAATAAGAAATTGTAGCAGAAGACTACAAAATCATCATTTTATGAATAAACAACATTTGGTAGTAATCATTCGACTGGCACAATCTGACAATGACAGTGCATGTTGTCGACAAATGCCAGATGTCTTATAAATAATCATGCAATCTTTTAATTATTTAATGAGATAATAAAAAATTGCTTTGAATAAACAAGATTTTGATAGTAATACAATGTGTAGTAATGAGCTTAATAAAAGAAACAAAATTAGAGTAGAATCCAAGCGATTTAATAAGAATCAACATGGGTGTAAAAATATAATTCCGATAGTTTTTGATGGTATGAATACGGATAATCACTCTTGAGCAGCATATATCGTCGTTATTGTTTGAAAACACTAAATTGAATAGGTATATTTTATTAAAATAAGTTGTACAGCCAAACAGACTCTAGACATTAAACATGGTCTCCTGCCCCGTAATCAAAGTTTTATGGCATCAATAATAGAGAACTATGAATGAATTATAGTATTGTTTCTGGAATGATCAAATTATGATTCATTTTTGATCGATTAAATCATTGATATAATTTTTCTTTACTATCCGTCTTATGAAAAAACAGGTAACCATGAATGTCCAACAAATGTATTAGCTTTAAAAAAACTAAAAAATTTTAGAATTTTCATTTTCTGTGTTGTTCTAAAATTTCTTTATAACAGTTGACGTCATATTCTACCTCAAAAGTCTGGCTGACATCACTGTTCTTGCTCGAATGTTGTGTCTGGATTCTGTCATGACAATAATAATTACATTAAGAGAACAAAGACAAAAAAAACGGTGAATGTACTTTCGTCAATCGGCTGTCATATATGGCAATAAATCTGCCAGAGGCATAGTTTTTTAGTAACAGAAGGAAAAAAAACTTCAGTCACTTCTCATTTCATCAGTTCAATTAACAGTGTTAGCAACAAAAATGCATACCATTTTGTTTCTTCTACTACTTGTTGTAATCTTGCTTGGAACGACAGTTCACAGTCAACAAGGTAAATATTTTAGTCTAATTGAAACAAATGCACTGAATTCACGTTACAATTTTGTTAAAAAGTCTTCTTGTTACCAACAAGGGAACTACCCCAACTGATACCCGCCGTTTGAATTCATGTCGAGTTCACAAGCAGGTTTCAATGAGACTAGAACAAATCCAAAAGGGTCCATTCCCATTGATCTTTGTCGCCGAATGATGATAGGTTCACTGAATTTTCGCCTCATTTTCAGACACTCTCTAGAAAACTGAATAACGGAGTTTTGATTCAAAGTTTTACCCATAGATAGGCCTAATGACTCTTTGAACATTCCATATCTTAACGAAAGAACTCCATTATTCGGTCTTCCGAAGAGCACGTAAAAATGCGTTTAAAATCCAGTTAACCGATCATAACTCGGCGCTAAAGACCAACGAAGATGAAACCTTATAAATGTTTGTTATTTTTACTGAGATTTACCTAGGAATTCAATATGAGTTCACACAGTAGGTGTCCGTTGGAGTAGTTTCCTCGTAAATCACAATATATTTTCCTTCAGCTACTTTTTATTTCAGGTAGCTATTTCAGTTGTAATATTTACAAAAGCAGAAATTTATGCACCACTGATTATTGTAAATACATTGGTTTTGGTGTTGGAAGTGCAATCATTGTCTTGCTCATTATTTTCTTTCTTATTTTGTGCTGTTTTCATGGCAGTAACATGTGTAGAAGCAAGCCACGACGATCCAATAGAACATTTGTAAAATTTGCGTTTCCTAAAACTCTTAGATCAAACTTACGTGATCGTACTTTTTCAACTGGTCTTTGGAGTAGTCGACATTACCGCTATTATAAATGGTATGGTCCTCATCAAATTTTTCTCTCATTTAATTCACGATCAATGACAGTAACTGGATCTGGACAAGATGATATTGGTATTTTTGATATTGAAGGTATCTATTCATATAGAAATCGTCGAATTGGTCTCCGAAAAATATATCGATCGGACAAGTTTGATGAATTAACAAAGTCTGAACATGAAATAATAATTCAACTAATTTGGAATGATAAAGCAAAACAATTTCAAGGCAAATGGTATGACGACACGAAATCAAGCAAAGAAAAAGGTGTCTTTGAGCTAACACATGACGATGAGCTAAGTCAATGTGGATTTGAAAAAGTTTGATAACATTATATAGATATTTTTTTTTAAATATTTCGTTTATTATTATTATGAAATGAACATGATTCCTCATTGTTAAAACAAATATTTTAATAATTCTTATATTTTATGTTGTCATTGTATTACTTGGATGTGAGAAAATATAATTCTTAAATTGAAAATTTTGTATTCAATTAACTAAGATAATCTTCTATTGATTTATTCAACATAGTTGCGTACGACAATTCTGTACATACCTTTAATATGTTAATTCATTCATAAAATTTGTTTGCCTCATGATGAATCTAACATCAGATTAGATACGATAACAGTAAATGAAAGGCTTTCATTTATAATTCTTTCATAAACTCATTGTGTCAAATATGTATCTATGATCATATTCATATATACTCTATATCAAAAGATGTCGGTAGATATAATTTTTTTCTGTTAGAAGCCAGACGTTTTTTGAATACAATCTTATGTCAAAAACTATTTATTCTTCCAATCATTCATTAAGCTGTAAATTGTATTTAAATAATCGAATCTCATAAAATACGACAGACATTACAATAATTTCATTTTTAATGATAAAAATTGTCGATATAGTTCTTTTTTCCTTCAGTAATCCAATACTATAAAACTTATATTGTAAATTTTGTTGTTGATACATTTCGAATTCAATCAATAAGTGTTCGTTATAACTATGATATTTTATTCAAATAATCAACTATTACAGCGGAAGAGTATTTAAAATTTTTAAGTATCTTGAAACACTCAGTACTTCACAAAATCAATGATATTTTTCATTGATTAACCTTTAATAAATATAAAAATTTTCACATGAAAAAATATAACAAGAAAGAAATGACACTATTGATGAAAGAGGTTAACGACAAGAGTATAATAAGTTCTATTACTCATCGTATCTATAAAGTACTTAGAGTTCATATTTCATCAAACAAAAGATATATTTTTTCAAGAGAAAAGAATCTCATTTGAGAGGATGGAATTGCTCCATACCATTTGGAAACCTGATCGCAATATCTCTTTAATCGACAATTTATCGAGGATTAAAACAGCTAGTAGCAGTAAAAATGAGTAAAGTTGGCTCTTTCTAGAATTAGAATCGTTCATGCACAAGTAACTGTACGTTCTTAATCTATGTTTCCTAACAAAGAAAACCGAAAACTTACAAAGGAATTTTAGGTGAATCTCGGAATGTTTAAAAGGTTTCACCGAGGGTTTATAAAACCTGATAAGCTCTAAATTTGATCTTTACGTTCATTTTGAAGTTATTTTTTATTAATTAAAATTTATTTTATAGGAAAACAATTCTAGTCATTTTTTCAGAGTAATTTTACATGTAAGTCAATGATTGCATCTTTTTCAATGGAGAAATTACATTAATCAAGAATAAACTTACATGAAGATAATGAAATAATATCGAAAAAAAAATTATTATTTAGAGAAGAAAAAATGACTTGTTAATTTTTTCAATGGAATTTCTAATCATTGTAGAAACAATATTTCTACTCAATGTGGAACTGCGTATTAAGAATGATTATGTGGGAACATCACATGAGGTGTGTTCTGCAGGACACTCAAGTCATCTAGTAGATTGTGATCCAATGAAATTCTGGTCTAGTGATGAAACTTGTCGTAATTTGCCATTATTATCAATACTAGTCAGAAGAGTATATGCCATTCCAACGACCAATGCTTCGATGGAAAGTTATTTAGTTCAGTTGGATTGACATTTACTCAGAGACAAACATGTTTATCACCAAGTCACATTGACAACATCATTGATTCGTTCTTATGAGAAATTCAAGAAAAAAGCTAGTACAAAGAAAGCTTATTCTATCTAGCTTTTCTATTTGTTTATTTTGACTAAGTTTTGAATCCTGTATCTTTATGCTTGTTTTATTGTTGTTTTGTTCACCTCATGGATGTGGAGTATTTTTTTTTATTGCTTATTTTATATCTACTGAAAAATGTGTGATAAGGTTAATTAACATGATTATTGTAAATGATTTTTGTATAGATGGAGGATCTATCATATTTGACATCATACTTCATATACAGATAAGCTTAACATCGTTGTCAAAAAAGGGATGAAAAAGTCGTCTTGCTGAGCGGGCACAGAAGGATCATGTGTTCTACCACAACGAACTATTTGATCTCTTGTCCTGAGTCCTGTAAAATAGGATAACTGCATGAAAATGCCCTTCCGGGTGCAGAGCAGGACAAAGAAAACTGTTCTGTAATGTTCTCTAGGGGTTATATAATAAATTGTATGATTTAATATGATAAAATGCCAAATACAGATTAGTCATGAATAGAATCATATTAGTCGAATGTTAACTCTTCATCAATGGTTTTTTTTTCTTCTCAAGTAGTATGTTTTTTGTATAATAATGAAGTAGTGGCTGACTTCTTTTAGGCACATTCTTTCTTCACGAATAATCATTAGAAGATTTATAGACTTTCTCAATGTATAAGATTCTCCTTTTTTTCTCACTTAATCATCTATCTCGTTTGAAACAAAACGATATGATATTGAAGAAACTCATTTATTATCATCAATTGATTTACTTATTGAATAATTTATTTGTATCTTTTTTTGTCTTTCTCATTTTAACTATTTCAAATTTTAGACTTGTTCATTAATTCAAAAAACTTTCCTTTAATTCTCTTTTTATTAATAAAAAAAAAAATCAAAACGACTTTATTGCAAAAAATTTTCTCTTTGATTTGTCGATATAATGAATAATCAAAATGTTTGTTTGTTTAGGAATAATCTTGATCAGAAATAAATGTTTTTATTTTAAAAAATAAGTCTTTTTAATCCATGTAAACCATTTCCCCAATGAAAACATGTATATAAAGCCATTGACCATAACATTAAAAGTGCCAAATCAAGAATGATTACTCCAGTAATACGACCTTTTGAACCTGTTCGACGATAACCTTGAGAATAAAGTTCTCGTCCAATCATATAAGCAATTCCAGTAAAAAAAGTCAAACGAGTATACGAAAGACCAGATATTAATAAAGGAATTAAAACTGCAAAACCTCCCTAAAATTATATTTATGTACTTAGTTAAATAAAATAAAAAGCAAAGTTAAATACTTCAAGATAGTTCATATGTGCTCGTCGATAATTATTAAGAGTAAACCATTCTTCATCATCTAATAAATCAGCTAATCTTCCTTGTCCATCATCAGGATAACCTCCATCTGGTCTCATAACTGTTATCAATTGTTTATATCGAGGAAACTTCTTTTGATAGAAGTCTTTATTGAAAACTCGTTTTCTTACCAGTCCCATCATCATTCCAGTTAAAAACATATGAATTGTTATTATAATAGCTTCTAATAAAATCCATGCATATCCTTCTCCAACAACTATTTTCATTTCATTGAGCGGAGCCATCTGAAAAGAAAAAAAAGATTTGCATTTAAATCAATCAAAACATATAGAAAAAAACATTCATCTAAAACTGATTGAAAACAAGAAAAATAATTGAATTCTTTTTCATACAAATGAAAAATATTAGAAAAGAAGATGTCGAAGTCTTAAAGCAAATCATCAAGTTTTGAATCAATTATATTTGATATAGATAAGAGTTGTTTTTTCATTTCATCATTGAGCGTTTCAGGACGACGATTTATTCGATCAACAAAAACATGAGTAAAACCACCAACAGCTGAAGCTTTTTCTGCTTGACTATTTTCAAATATTCCAACAGAATAATCAACAGATGATTTACCTATTCGTTTAACAAACAAGCCAGCTGAAATTTTTGATGGATATGATACTGGAGAATAATATTCACAATGAGAAGAAACAACAAAACCTATTAATGGAGATGCTAAAGGCTCAAGTGAACATTTTTCAATTAAATATTTATTAACAATTGAATCGATCCATTCACCATAAACAACATTATTAACATGACCATAAATATCATTGTCACGCCATCTAATTGTTATTTTTCTTATTTTTTGTAAATTTTAATTAATTTAACTTACCGTGTTTGAAAATCTACAAAATATTTGTATAATGATCGTTCACGAAAATCAGATTTAGATGAAATACTTTTCTCTCTTTTAAAAAAATTATAATAAGGACGAACGATTCGACACACTAACATGTTAAGTACGAAACAAAGCGAGTGAGATTAAAAAAAAGACACTTTGAACCTGGATTTTTTTAGCCAATCAAATATGGTAATTAAATTATTTATCTTGTTAAATTATTCTTATTGTCTCAAATTTAAATATATTCTTTTATAGATTTAATTTTACTCGGAGAAAAACAATCAAGCAGAATATAGTAAATTAGATGATTTATTGTAGATGTCGCTTTCTTGTATAGGAACAGAATGAAGTTAATTCATTGATGACAGATTGACATAATTAAGTTGTCTTTGAAGCACATGTATTGAACAGTACAACGTAGCTGTAGGTACGGCAATACGTATTCATCTCAACTGCAACCATACCTAAATACACGTCCACATGCACACCATCGCTGAATCGGATTGAAAATTTTCCAGTGAAATAGAGTTAATTAGTATGTCTTGTCAAGTTATTGGACAGGTAGAAAACGAGAGTGATCTGCTTTGATACTACTTTGAATGATTGTTTCTCAAAACTAAAGATAGATGAAGAAGTAATTAGAGTAAGTCAAGTCAATTGATCTCTTTGCGTGATGCTGTCAATTTTTTATGTCACTCTGTTGAAATGCGTTTAGATGGAATTCTTTTCTCCTTTGACACAGAAAATAATGATTAGGTAAAAAAGTATTATTGTGTCTATTATCGAGATTCTGTTAAGTTCCTTATTAAATGACTACTATAAAGAATTAGATTACCTAAACAAATTAGGAGACAATTCACAGATTATGGTAACGAGGACAAACGTTTGTCTATCCATGCTAGTTTGCAAGTTGAACAAGACCGCGTTGAAGAATTCATGTCTAATTGCATCACATACGGAATATTGTATGAATATTATTTTGTCAATGACATCAGTGAGTGAAGATTTTTCTCTTTCATTTGAATGCAATACGAAATATCACTTCCGTCGGTTGAAAGGTTTTCGTAAATCATTGTAAATATTGGATATCTTAAGTATAAATCTGAGTATTTACGACAAGGATTCGTTCTACAGCAATGTCTCATCAAGTTTATGCTCACTCCCTGTCACATTTAAAAATCCCTACTCTCTAAAAAAAACAGTATTCTCGGAAACCAAGGGAGAAAGGTTTCCGAGTGTTCGGAAACCCACTTCTTGCCCTCGAGAACCCTTTTATCGGTTTCCGAAAGCTCGGAAACCCATTTTTTGCCTTCGGAAACCCTTAAAACGTTCCCGATAGTAACAAACTCGTAAACCGAAAAGAGTTTCCGAGCCTCGGATACCCTTTCATGCGTTTCCGAACTTCGGAAACCTTTTTCGGTTTACGACTTTGTTACTATCGGAAACGTTTTAAGGGTTTCCGAGGGTAAAAAATGGGTTTCCGAGCTTTCGGAAACCGATAAAAGGGTTCTCGAGGGCAAGAAATGGGTTTCCGAACACTCGGAAACCTTTCTCCCTTGGTTTCCGAGAATACTGTTTTTTTTTAGAGAGTATTGAATGGTGATTTCATCTTCAAACAGTAAGGCGAGCAATCTAAAGAAAAACTTCCAAAAAGCCTTTCGAAAAATATATTCGCAAATACCGAATGGATTTACTGCAAGTCTAGGGCTTGCGTATATCAGAAAAGGAATATATATTTGTAATAATCTCAAGATTGCTGAGTGACTTTTACCTGTAATACTTTTATTATAAAATTGTTTGGCTAGCTTTCTTAGCGATCAATTTGCGCTCAATGCATGAAATTTCTGTCGTTCAAGCATGAATTATTTTATTTTTTTTAAATTCATTAAAGTCGAACATTTATGAGTAATTTTGCGCATAAAATTTAGTTACTTTCTATTGTACTTTTTTGTTTGAAACAAATAAATGATCTTTCAAAAAGTAAGAATAGATCAAATATGAAAAAAGGTGCCCAGAACGGGAAAATTGAAAAATTAAATGATCCGCTCGGAAAAAAATATTAGAAAGTAAGTAGTAGGTCATGTGTGCAAAAATCAGAATATCCATTTTCTGTAACCGCAGGAGTTGTATCGAGTCGAATTCTAATGAAAGTTTACTTATTCGTTTTAGCTTCTGATACTGGTTAATTGCTTAGTTGTGTTCTAATTCGACTGAACGATAAGTACTACAATTGTACACAAGAAAATATAGCGGATTGCATAGAGTTCATTGTTTCGCTTTTCATTTTCATCCTTTTCTATCTATGTGATGTAAATGTTTATGATTGCAAAACTGTATTCTTATCGCAATAAACTGCCTAGTAGTTTGGGTGTGATTGTTAGCTATGACTCTATCACATCTAAAAACAGAGATAAGATAAGAGTAGTTTATCGTTGATATAGTTTGCCTTCTCACTTGCAACAAACATGGATGGAGTCATCAAATTTTACGATTTGGCGCCACGTGCTAGTTCAACACATTATTTTTCTCCGAATACCTGGAAGACTCGTATGAGTCTTCTGCACAAGGGTGTGAAATTTGAAACAATATCTGCAACTTTGCTTGACTTTCGAGGAGATTTAGCCCGTCGCTCAAATCAACGTCATATTTCTGCGCCAGCTATCGAATTACCTGATGGAACATTCATCTATGATTCATTTCGCATTGCTGAATGGTTAGAAAATGCTTATCCTAATGCTCCATCATTGTTTACCGGTGATGGTAAATTATCATGTGACGCTTGGCCAGAACATATAAATCTTGGTAAGAATTACGCACGTATGATTGATTTGGGTCTCGGTGCTTCTAAACCAGAATGGGCCGTTTGGTTTGATTTATTTTTTCCCCAGCTTGATAAAATAATTACAGGTGAGGAGCATCGGGCTTATTTCATATCTGATGCACGACATGGTCCACAAGGATATCAAAAATTACTCTCACTCGATTGTCAAGAACTGATGCGTCGCGCTAAAATGAACATACAGCCTCTTGTACAGATCTTACGTGAACGTCCAAACGAATATTTTCAAGAAACGCATCCAGGTCAAGTAGATTACGTTATTTTCGGTCGTTACGCTTACTGTCGTATGCTTGATGCAAAACTCACAAGGGAAATCTGGAATGATCAAGGAGAAGAATTAAACACTTGGATAAAGAAATTATCTCAAGCTTATGATGGACATGCTCAGCAACTTTTTGACAGTGTTTATGTTATCAACTGATCTTATGTTCTATTATAATAATCATGACATTATCCGGAGATGGATTTTACGTATGAATCGAAAGTTTCAAACTGACTAAGAAGCTTTTTTGTTTAAACTGTAGCTGTAATTGTGCATTAATAACAATCGACTTAGTTGTATATCGCTTTTATTTGTAGTCGCTTTTGTCACCGATGACAAGTGTTCAATTCGAAAAAAATATCGTAGTTTCGCAAAAATAATTCTTTTTTTTGCCCGTGGTATACTTAGATGTTCATAGATAGCCTGTTTGAGGCTGTGGGTGTAGGTGTGGAGTTTAGCTAGGTTTCTTCGAGAATAGTCGAACAAATTCTTAAGAAACAGGTTTTCGACAGTGGCCAATGAGTACACAAAACTTGAATCAGACAATCCTCGTATCAAATCAGCCAAACTTCTTAAAAATTGAGATTTAGAAGTTTCTGATATCGTTGTTTTATTTGTATACATCAAATCAAACATCTAAATTTTTATAAGGTTCCTCAGTTTCTGTGTCATCTCAATTGCCCATATATCAGAGTTGGGGGTCACATATTATGTGTTAAGATTTGGGACGAAATTTTCAGCAAGCTAATGATGAATCGAAAGTCACATAGAAGTGGATGCGCCAGACTAAGCGGAACAAGAATATGTTATTAGAATTGATTGATGTTCGTACTCTATTGAAACAATGTAGATCACAATATTTGATAAAATATTTATTTAAAAAAAAATGAAACATGCAGAACTACTAAGAAAGAATGCAAGTTGGATTTTGCTGATTGCGAAAAAGTGTCAAATAATCTTGGTCACTCCGACTGAATTCAACAGATCGTCTCGATTGTCGCCAATTCAAACCTTGATCTGGTTTCAACTGTACCTTCCAACCCCTATTATCTCGATAAATACCTTCTCGATTCCACAGTCGTGGATCAAAATTAATTGCATCATTTGTGTTTATACACCAGACACATATATCAAGTGTTTTTAGAGTATTATGTCGATAACTCTTCTGCATTGTTTCAAACCATCGGGTCCATTTTCGACCATTAGCCCAACTTGAATCTGAATTAGTCATAACATTGAGTTTTATTTCATTTAATTGGGAACATTTAGATAAAAATTTGATCATAATATCAAAATCTATATCAATGAATGGTGTTACTATGATTTTATTCAGATAGTCTGTATTGATTTGATCCACATTGTTTATAAATTTAAGAAAAAGATCAGCATGGCGTAGTTCAAAAGTTTTTAATTGATGGTTAGCAGCGAGATACGGCATAACATGATCAATGATGAATGCAACTTCATGCCATTTGAAGTCGCGTGTTAAATGTATATGATGTACTTCTTCAGTCAAAAAGAAATGTACAAGTTTGTTAAAGCGTTGGTTTAACATTAGAAATGCATAGTTTAAATCGATCAACGACAAGTACGAAAATATTTCATGTATAAAAAGTTCATTCGGGAGTGACTCAAACTGCAATATCATTCTAGAGCCTTATGTTTGTGTGCATGGAGAATGAAAATTGTCAAGTGATACTGATAAGAGAAACAAGGAGCAACAAACATGATGATTCATACTTCATATCTGATATTATTATTCAGTCAGTCTACAATGTTCAGAGCAATAAAAAACGTATGTATTTATTTTAAAAAAATCCACTGGTCTGCTAAAACCAATGTTATCTGATAAATAACGCTATCGAACAAATGCATACGTTTGCTCATTTCTATTATTTCTGATTTAAAGTAATAATATTTGTTGTGCGATCGTTTCACTGAAAAATAACGTTTTTTTTAATCGTTAAGTTTATATAATAAAAAATAATTAAGGTTGACATGTAAAATTATCTAAAGAAAAAGTTAACTATTTATTGATGGAAGATGTAAATAATGTTATCATTTTAATTTAAACCTTGACCACTCTCTGTAAATTCTATCAATTCTAATCTAATTCTAAGGCTGATCTTTCATCCATAATATCCATGTGTACATATATATATCCGCCTGGCAAAAAATAGTTGGACACAGTATTTTTAACAAATCATTACTATAAACTAACATTTTGGAAAAAGTAAATATATATTCGAATAGCCCGAAGAATTCTCTACAACTCTACATATAAACATTTTGAATTACACTGGTTTACTAAAAATAAATTCAAACGTAGTAAAGGCACCCTCATAATGAGATTTCCGAGAAATGCGTTTTTCCTTAATGTTTTTCAAATGGACAGGGGCGCATAAGAAGCCGATTTGGCCCATATAATATTTTCAGTCAATTTATTGCCCATCCTATGTGGAAAAATGTGGTGATTCTTTTGGCAATAAATTGAAGTTAAACTGTAAGGATTATAAGCTATTTTGAGGGAGAATACCTGAAAAAAAGTATTGAAGTTTCATTGGGCTCATAGTTGTCTGATATTAACTCAAAATATACGACTTTTAGGCAATGTTTCAAGCTCAATCTATGTTGGTCAGAAGGAGCATTTAATTCTGCATCGTTTCATGTAAGGACTAATATTTTTTCATTAAAAATTTAATCATGGAAAATACTGTCCTTTCACCGGGGTATGCTTCGGTACCTCACATCCGAACAATAATTAGAACTATTTGACATGCTTTTACGTGTAAGCCAAGCCTTTTTATATGCCATTTGATAGAGCGAAGAAAGAGCTACAAACTGATGCATAATTTATTTGATTGCAATATGGGCCACTATATCGAAAGTGTGTATGAATTGTTTGGGAGCACAAAAAAGTGCACTTTTCTGCTCATTATTGAGCGAATTTGATAAGAATAATTCAGCTTTTGATAGAAGAGAATGGTATATNTGCCACCATTAAAACAAAAAGATGATAACGATAGAGTACAAGAATTTTCTAAATACAAAAAAAAAAGAAGCTTTTAGCAGATTCTTACAAGAAATGATCAAATTGATTTTTCTTATAAATGAAAAGATTCTCGCAAAATTATTTTCTGATTTATAACATGTGTTAACAGACATGATGTAAGCATGGTCATATAGAATAAGCTCAAGTGACAATGAGTGTATGATGAAAATAGTATCATCTAATCAAGGATTATCGTTATGCTCTACCGATACTCTTTTATGTATTCATATGAGTTAGAATCAAATGTATCTAGATCGGAAACTTTATAATATACGACGTTCAACTTTTACTTTTCTATTATTTTATATATGTATTATAGCAGACACACGTACCAATAAAGTACTGTGTGTAAACCTCAGTACCAGTAGCCATGGAATATCCTTAGCTAAAGACTATTTGTCTAAGATAATCCGTCAAATAGTATGCTGAGTACCTTGCAACAGTTCAGGTCGGTCTTCTGTCGAAAGCTATAGCTAGTATTAGTTGCCGGGAAGATATCAGGCTACTGAATCTACTATTTGACAGTATCTTATACTGCAAGTTACCTGAAAGGCAGAAATATTCTTTCTCCTTATTCATTCAACATTTTTTTGTAACAAAAAGAAAACAACTTCTTACTTACCATATTGACAAAATGTTCCAACTTTATTTCCCGGACATGTACATACAGGTCCTGTTGGTTGTTCATTACATATTTTATATGCAGGACAAAGCATATTAGCACATGAAGTTACAGCTAAAGAAAAACTCTTATTAAAAATAATATCGCCATATTTATCATTCTTACATGTATCACAATTTTGTCCATAAAATCCTGGTGGACAAACACAACGATATGCTGACCAATTAGTACTTGTGTCAGTAAGTAATGTTTTACAGCCAGCACCATTTTTACATAGAAAATTAGCACAAGAATCACCTAAAATATTTCATATTAATAGATAGATATTTTCCTAATAAAAAAACAAACAAACATACGTAAACTACATGTTGGACCAGTAAAACCAGTTGCACATAAACATTCAGCCATTGTTGCAGCTATTTGTCTGCAAGTTCCACCGTTTAAACACGTATTTGTCGAACAAACCGAATCTAAATATCTTCCTTATATTCATCCAAACAGAAAAAAATAAATAAATTTTTATCATACTCCATTCACAACGTGCTCCTGCAAAATCCGTTGGACAAATGCAACGCATATTTGTATTATTATAATCACATGTACCTCCATTTAAACATACATTTGAATTACATAATAAACCCAAATCTATTTTCATTAAATAATGAATTATTCATTTAGAAGAAAGAAAAATTATCAAATAACATACATATTGAACAATCATAATGTCCATAACCCGGTTGACATAAACACATAAAACTATTTTGTGAACCAAGTGATATACAACTACCTTGATTATAACATGGTTTTTTTTGACAATTATTTGTATATTGACATCGATCACCAGTTAAATAATCAGGACAAATACATTGATAATTTATAGAATTTGTATTTGATATTTGTTCACATGTTGATAAATAATGACAAGGTGAATCTGAACATGATGTTAATATATCTAAAAGAAAAAACGAAATTTAGTTTTTGATTCTGTTTCTTTTTTCAATAATATAAAGATATACTTGATTTGCATGATTGACCAAGTAAACCATTTGGGCAAATACAATAATAAGATGAATTCGACATAGGAAAACAAGTACCATTGTATCCACAAGGGTTTTGTGAACAAGAATTTATAAATGATTGACAATATTGACCAGTATAACCTGGACGACATACACATCCTAATGCATTATTACCAGATGTTGCATCTATATAACACACACCATTATTTAAACAAATTGTACTTGTACATATTGATTGAATTGTTTCACATCTTTGAATATATTAATTACTGAATGAAGATTTATTAAAATTTATATTTTACCGAGCACCGATTGTGTTTGATCGACATTGACAATAAGACATATTAGTTATTGGATTTATTAGACATGTTCCACCATGAAGACAAGGAAATATAAAACATGAAGTATCTTGTTGTTCACAATAAACTCCAGTTGTACCACTCAAACATATACAACTAATAGAACATGTTGTCGAAAAACAATTAGTAGTCGATGAAATACATTGACCACCATTACGACATGGCGAAGAAATACAACCGCTTACTAAACATTCATAATAATGTTTTTATTTATCATTTAATGAATGAATATTGTACAAATTATCTTTATAAAAGAAATCGAAAGTTAATCTTAAGTTTATTCGAGAGACAATAGAGTTTTTCTATTTATGTTCATATATATTGACAATTGTTGACTAAATTCAACTCTTTACTTCCGCACAGAATCAGATGGATTAATATCATCTTGATAACTAAAATGAGCTCTAATGAAGTGCTTCAGAACTAATCCTCCAAAGTTTATTTCATAATGAATTTAGAAACCAAAAATTGAAGAACTCATTTGGTTACCTGCAAACCTCAACTATTTGCAATCGATTGGTGATGACTGACAGTTAAATTTTTTTCAAGTTCTAAATCTCGTTTGTCCCGTCTTGTTTGTTTTCAAAATATCTTGCGGAACGAGACAGTATTAACAAAAGAAAACTTGTATATCTAAATGAAGGCACATTGTTTTTGGAGTAATTTCTTCAATTTTTATTAAACTCTTTTTATGATTTCAAAAATCAGTAATTAGCTTATGCTAATATGAATTTAACATTTGAAATAATTCATCTTTCTTTTCTTACTTACTATATTCACATCTTGTACCAACATAACCATTTTGACAATTACATATATATGTTCCATCTTTTATATTTGAACTTCGAACACAAATACCATTATTGAAACATGGATTTGGTGTACATACATTTATAATTAAATCACAATTTGTACCACCATATGGTAATATACATTGACATGAATAAGTATTTGATAATAAAGAACAGCTACCATTATTTTTACATGGTGTACTTAAACATGGATTTCCACCGATTTCACAATTTTGACCTATTTGCGTAATTTATTATTTTTTAAAATATTGGCAAAAAAAAAAGAAATTATAAATTAAACAACCTGTTGTTCCATTTGGACAAAGACATGAATAACTACAACGTAAATCTAAACAGTTTGATGATGCTATACAAGTCCCTTGATTACATGGATTTGATAAGCAACTATTAACTATAAATATAAAAATAATATTCAATATATGATTTTGATTATTTCTCTTTTCTTACTCAATTCACATCGACTTCCAAAAAATCCAAAATTACATTCACATTGAAAACTTTCATTTGTCAATGTTACACAGTTTCCATAACTGCAAGGATTCGATTGACATACACCACTAACAATTGTCTCACATTGTTTACCAGTATAACTATTTGTACAAGTACAATTTGGTAAATTACATGATGTATCTGTACAAATAACCGAACAAGTATTATTGTTACGACAATAATCAATACAAGGATTATCTAAAATATTGTTTTTTTTTTTGTATTTCAATTAAAGATTTATTAATTCATATAAACATACTTAATTGACAAAATTTTCCTCGATAAAGATTTGTACATAAACAAGTTCCATTGGTTAAACAAGTTCCTCCATTAACACATTGGCAATTCATATTCGTGGTATTATTTGAAAATAATGGTATTTGACACAGTACACCTGTATAATCATTTTTACATTGACATATGTATTGTGTTGTTGATGTTTGAAGGCATGCACCATTGGCTGAACATAGATTTGTTTGATCTTGACACGAACCATTCATAATTGTAGATAACGGTAAAGTTAATGAAGTTGTTGCTAAAGTAGATGTTGTTGGCCTTGGTGTAATTGTTGAACCTGAAATACATGATGATGGTGGAAAACAAATACATTGTGCTAAGTCCGATATAATCTGTTGTAAACATGAACATGATGATATGGTACAACTTGTTGTTAAGCAATCATCTAAATCGAAAATTATTATGATTTATATATCAAAAGTATTAATTTACTTGAAACACAATTAATAAGACTTATACTGGTTTGTAGTGGAATACGAAAAAAATGACGTTGAGGAATGAAATTATTTGTACCGTTTGATAATGTATACGAACCCATTGAAAACATAAGATAGAGATTTGAAATAAAACTAATATCATGTATATCTCCTGTTGTAAGGAATCGTTCAAATGCAACATAAATATATTTATCAGTAAGATTTGTTCGAATAACACAAAAATCTTGTTGACTATCAATTGACGGTACAGTATGTCCTTGAGAAAATCTACAAGCAAAATGAATAGATTAAATAATAATTTATTCGAAGGAAAACTTTATTACCGATCTTGAACTGTCTGAGTTCCAGGAAAGAACATTGCTACATCCATATTATTCTAATAAACAAAACAAAGAAAGAAAGAAAACTTCTTTTTATTTTACAATATGATATTTTTCTATCTACTAAATATAATTTACAAAAAAATGGTCTTCGTAAAAGAAAATCTCTTTAAAAAAAGATACAAACCATAGTTGGTGCTGTATCAGACCATCCAATTGCAATATAAGTCGATGTAAGATTGATACTAGCAATTGCTTGTCCTACATTTTTATATAGAGAATTTAATAATAATATTAATATATTTTTTTATAAGTTTACCTTGAATAATGAATTGAACTGTATTTGAAGCCATATCGTATCGCCATGAAACAGTAAATGAACCAATAGTTGTGTCTTGTATAGGCCATATACCACCAGAACATTCACCTTGTATTGCTATATGACAAAAATAAAAAATAATCAAAATACCATTTCATTTATTCATTCATTCATTTTTACAATTAAACATACATTCAAAAAATTCACCGATTAAGAAAAATAATATGTAAAGAAGATATTTCATCTGGAAAAAAAAACATACATGCAAATATATTTTTATTTTTCTGTATCGATTATCTCATTTCCTTGATGATTCATTGCGAATCATCAACGATTGATTTCATTTTTTTGTGTTATTCATTGTTCTAAAGATTACTTAACATGTGATCGTCTCTTTTAAACAATATGAAGATAATACAATCATCAATGAAGAAGCTACGTTCAAACTCAAGAACTTATGAATAATTTTCCATAAAACTTATTCTTCTATAAAAACTTATCCATAACTTTACGAATTCTACTTCAATTTCTTCATCGATGATTGTATTACAATAAGATGCCGTTATTTCAACACAGTTCACTAATATCAATCTAGAGACAAATGAAAATTCTATTGAAAACTTCTTTCTTGATTCAATATTGGACGCTAACATATACATCTGAGTTTATCGAACTTGCAAACATACTACTTGCTTTCGTTGATAATTCAACCTTGATGTTGTTATTATTGATATGCACTTTCTTTATTCTACTTTCCCGTCTTTTTTATACATTGAAGAACAAATATTATAATCACATCAATAGCATCATCAAATTCATATTTAGCAAAATAGTAGGCAGTATTTCGTCATGCATACGTGTATATATTTCGAAATAAGTGAAGAATTATTTTTATTTTCTTAGTTATCAACTATAATAGATGACAAATGAAAGAAATTGATTTGTTAGCATTTTTTTTTTTCTTTTGTATATTTAATCATATTTTTCAAAGAAGAAAGAATATGATTAGGATCAATAATAGTAAAAAAAAAAATCAATTGTCGAATAAATCTATGATTGATTAAAGTTTAAAAATTCAATTGAGAAATATTTCTCGATCATATTAAACAAAAATTTGACATTGATAACTAATTTGAATAAGCGAATGTTGAACGTTGAAGCTGTAATAAAAACATAGATTCTTTTTTTCAAGGATACAAGCATCGTATTGATTACAAATCAAAATGAATCAATTGATTTTCATAGACGAAATATAGAAGCAAAACTTAATACATTCGGTCGGCCATTAAGAGGCTTCATGAATCGAATCAACTTCTGATTACATATAACTCACTTATATGCTATAAAGATCAATAAAAAGTTAATAATGTATTTTTCGAATAGAGAACTAAAAAAAAAATGATCTTGATTAAATCTATTAATCGAAATAATATGTTATGTCTATGTGGAGTATGAAGTTTTAAGTCTTATAATATTTCTAAATTCCGTTAAAGTGTTGCTTCTTTTTTGTTGATCACTTTATGATCTATGTTGTTATCGTTGACGTTAGATAGCATTTATATTTTTCTGACGGACTTCTCATTTCTTTGAAATTTAATAGATTCTACTTCAACATGATTTTGACTATATAAATAACTATTCTTTTCATAGAAAAATTGCTTCATTAATATACTAAAGTTAACTTGTCTTATTGTATTAGTCGAAGAAATAATTCTCAAGAAAACTTGATATTCCACACAAACTTTAACCTACAAAAACATTTTGCTAGTTTGCTTTCGTCATAATTCACTATATGATATAATTATTTCAAAAGACATCTAATATTTTAAACACTTTAGTCCCTATAGTTCATATGTATATATATATATCATATAATTTTCAATTATGTTTACTTAAGAAAACTTTCTCAACAATAACAACAACAATATTCGACCTCGTTCTTCTATCCGTAAATACAAGTGTACTTTAAACTTTTCTTTCAACGATCTCTAAGTGTTTTTTTATGTAATACTAAAAAAAAACTTGTCAACCATTTCATGGCAAATAGCATAGTGAAAAAAAAGAAATTAGAAAAGAATGATTGCATATACATATTCATATTCGTTTCATTTTTCTTTTGTTATCAATTATCACAAGTAGTTAAATGTTTTTCAATTAAACATCGATCAACTAGCCATGATCGATCAGGTTCAGATTCTGGTGTTATAACACACATAAATAATTGTTGAGAATATCGATGTCTCATAAATAAACATACAGGTGTAAATGGTAAAATATTATCATTATCAGAATTCGTTGATATATAATCACATAATTTATTATACAATTCAGGATAATGCTGTTCTATATCAATTCCACGTTCACGTAATTCAACTTGTAATTTAGCAAAAAATACTTGACGCATATGATGATTATTTTTATTATTACCATAATTTAATGATGGTAAATATAAAGTAGGATATGTACTAGATGAATTTGAATTTAATTCAGAATTTGGTAAAACATCAAGTAATTTATGAACAGCTGTTCGACTAACACATGTATAACGTGTATTATTTCCTATTAAATATATTATAGTTTAATAATTAATGAATTATTGTTTTTCTTTTTTCTTACCTTTATCTGCTTCTACTCCAATTGTAACATGACAAACAAATTCTCTACTTGGATTATAATTCATACAAAGTTCTTTTAAATGTTCATATTCAGTTAAACGAAGATTTTCTATAGCTTGATTTGTTTGTGTATCTATTACTGACCAATAAGTAGCCATTAAACGTGTATTTCCCATTGTATTCGATTGTACATATGCATCAGCTTCTTTTATATTATCAAAATAAAGTAATATAGCACCACGTCCAGATGATAAATATCCACTTGATGCTAAAGTACTTAAACGTTTTAATAAATGAATATTGCTTTTCATTAAACGTAATATATGACCACAACATGAATATGAATTTGATAGAATGCATTGACGTTTATGTATTGGCCAATCAGTTTTTTGACATGTTTTGCTACAATACATTTGTTCACAGTATGGACATGTGATTAATGATCGTTGATTAGTTACTGAAGAAGTTAATTGAATAAGTCTTGAACAAGTTGTACAGTGTTGAAGCTAAGAGTAAAAAGAAATATAAAACTTAAATATTACACATTGTCTAAATTATACCTGCTGCGTTTGAAGATTAAAATGTACACGAGGTCGAGGAACTTCGAATGATACGATTGGTTTTTGTTTAGGACTATCATTATTCTGTACAAAATTAACAACATAATTTGATTGATTAGGAACTTTCTCTGTTTCTTCAATAGCTAAATTTATTGAAAGTGGTATTGAAGACGATCGTCGATGTAAAACTGGATATGCATGTTCAACATAAGTTTTTTCAATAGGAATGTAACGATCAGGCAATGGATTATGTAGCCACTTATCAAGACGAGAAACAAGTGTTTGTACTTGTTTATTAAGTGAAGGCCAGTCGACTAAATCTTTCAATGTATCATCTTCTTCAGATATTTCTGATTTATCTGAATCAGTTTCAACAATAATTCTTGATGATGGTGATGATGATGACGTTGTTGTTAATAAACGTTCCGAAACAGATGTATAATAAGCACTGTCATCTTTATTTAATGTTGTACTACTATTACTCCCTAATGTAGTACTATTTGTAGTAAAACTTGCATAACCCTCATCTGCATCACCACTTTGATGATGATAATGATGATGACGATGATGATGATATATTTTATGTTTATTAACATTTGGTGAATTATTTATTGAACTTCCACTGACACTACTACAACTTGTCGATGATGTATATGTACGTAATTTTCGTACTTTGGACTGTTTAACCAAAGGATACGATTGATAATTATCATCAGTTTTAATCATTAAGAAAATTATATCTAAAACGAAAAACACATACATCGAAGAAATGTATGAATAAAGAAAAGTTAAAATTTATTCATTCATTCTTGCATGTGACTATAGAATCAAACAAAGGCGTTGTTTTTTTTGTATTTACAAAGTTCGTATGAATAGAAATGTTCAACGACATCCTTGAACAAAATACGTGTATGTCTATTTAAACACTCATCATTTCAAAACAAAACAAAAACAGTTGATCATCATCAAACGATTTGAAAAGTAAATGTCTAAATAGTATTACACATTGACACTGAGACAAAAAAAAGCTTGTAGAAAATGAATGCTTACCTTGTACTTAAAAGAGAATGCAATGCCATGTCGTTGAACTTATTCTTTTCACTTTCCTTTTTTTATTCAATTTTTTTTCCTGCTTATTCTTTGCTCATAGAATCGATTGCTGTTTGAATGTATAGAGATGTAAGCATATACATGTCAAAAAGAAAAAAAGAACGAAAGACGAATGAAGTTTGAATTTGATTCAAACCGTACAATTAAATCTAAGGTATCCGTAACATTCATTTTGAAGAGTAAGTATACAAAAAGTTTTTTTGCTGCAAGCGCAGTGCATACAACCCAGTACGATAATGGATGACGATGCAATTTAATAATCAAATATGTTTGTGTTAGAATGAAATAATGACAAAGAATTCAAATCCATTTTCATAATACATTATTATTTCACAACTAGAACAAAATTGTTCACAAAAGAAAAAAAGAAAGAAACAAGAACATATATATTTTCAATTTTTCATATGTGTTCAATTAACATTTATTTTCTTGCTTCCTTATTACATCACTAAGAGACATTTTAATAATAATGCTTTTTCTTTCTTTTTTTTTTAATGTCATTTCTAATGAACCTAATAAACTCGGAAGAAATATATGGCAATCACGCAAACAATGACCGACAACTCTTCGTCGTTTTCTTATATACATAATCAAAGAAACTGACATGATTACACAATAAACAGAAAGAACTATTCTCTTAATTATCTATCTAATGAAATGTATCAAAAACGATATGATGTAATCGAATAGAATTTTTTTTTCTTTCTTGTTTGCCATAACAAAATAACAATAACAATAAGAAAGTATAATTATGGAGAGGCCTTGAAAAATAAACGAGATTATTGGTTTGATGTTATTGTTTTGAAGAAAAACAAAGATTGATATGGATTATATGCAGATATTATATGTATATTTTTCATGTTTACGATTTCATTAGTTATAATTATGAAATGCGTTTGTATTTTTGTACCGATCAGTTTACTTTCTCTGGTAATTCATTCATTAGAAATGAGAAAAAAACTATTATCATATATTCCAAAAAAAAAAAACAAGGCGACTTCGGCATGGATAATGCTTATAATGATAAAGTAAACTAAGAAGAAGAAAACATTTCAGCTTGAACATAGACCGATTATCCATAAATTGCGTCGGACAGTATAAAGAGAGCACAAACATAACAGAATCGACCGTCAATCATAGTAATACGTATTACGTTATCAGAGTATAGCAGATAAAGAAAAACGAGATATTTCCTTGTATCGTTTAGTAGAGGAAAGAAGTTCGAATTCATTTGAAGATTGACATTATCAGAAAAACCATGTCTACTTATTATTCTTATATCTTATCTCTATTGGTTTTATTACTGATTACACATGTAAGTATTAAAAATAAAATTGAATAGTTCATTGATTTTTGCTTGTTATGTCTTACTCTAGTGGACTAAGAGTGTTAGTCTTCATTTTCCATTATATTCATTTCAAAATAAAATTTTCAATCATCAAAATTCTTCAATAATGAATAATGAATATTCAAAATCGATACCTATACGTCCTCAATTACCTTTGACAAAACGACACAAGCGTTGGAATAAAAATACAGATAATGATGAAACTGAAATTACAGTTAATAAACTATTTATACCTCTAAATAATTCTGTTGATATATCTTCATCAAATTCATCAATAATTGAAAATGTTGATGATTTAATGAATTCAACAATTTCATTTCAATTCAATATGACAACACTTGAAGTATATTCAGGTGAAAATACAACTATGCACAATTCATTATTAAGACAAAATTTGACAGAATTAAATCAAACAGATGATCAAACTACAATTTCAATTATTGAAAATGTTTTACAGGATAATAAAACAGACACTAATGATACAATGTTTTCACCTAAAATGTTCAATGAACTTATTTATATTGATTTAATTGATTCACAAACATTTGCAAGCAACATTACAGATATTTATCATATAATTACTAATGACAAAAACGAGTCTATAACTAATGAAATCAATAATTTACCTAATGAATTTCAAACATCATCATTTCCAATTATGTTCAACCAAACCATCAACGACGTTGAACCCACTATTGTTACTACTCATTTAGATTACACTACCACGTCGTATAATATAACAGATAATAATCAAACATATGAATGGGGTTTATTATTTAATGATAAAACAGAAACAATTCCAAATAATCAAACATATGAATGGGGTTTACTATTTAATGATAAAACAGAAATGAGTTCATCTAATGATTCTTCTACAATTGCAACAAGTAATGAATTTACAATCAACTCAAATATAATTGATCAAGATATGAATATGAATAATACAAAACTAATTATTGATGATATTAATCAAAACTTTAATGAAACTTTTGTTTTATCATTAAAATCAATAAACATGTCCATATGTGATCGTTCATGTCAATGTTTAAAACAATGTCCATATGGTTTTGAAATTCTTAATGATACATGCGTATGTCAACCATCATGTCAAGTAAATTATTAACAAAATTAAAAAATAATTTTTTTTTAATAAATATATTCATTTGAATAGAATTATCAATGTTTTGGTAACGATACGTGTATTATAACAGATAAAGGACAACCTTTATGTCAATCAGAAAATGACACCGAACATGGTAACTACGAACGAGAAAATCAATATGATTATTAAGAATGTTTTGTAATCTTATTTTTAGATCATTCAACTCGTTGTTATCAACCACGAGATGCTGGATATCATAATATTAATATTCAATATCATAATCGTTGGTATTATAATCCTGATCAAGATACTTGTCATTTATTTGTTTATCGTGGTTTGGGTGGAAATGAAAATAATTTTGAAACATTACATGAATGTCATTTAGAATGTATAAGTAAGTTTGATTTTTGTTTTTGTTCTTATAAAGATTGTATTATTATTTGTTATATTTTTAGTATGTGCTCCATTACCTGATTCAGGTGAATGTTTAGGTCATATTACTATGTGGTATTATGATAAGAAAAATAGTGAATGCACACAATTTGAATATTCAGGTTGTAAAGGTAATCAAAATAAATTTTTAAAAAAAGAACAATGTATTGATACATGTATTAATCGAATACTTAATTTGAAATAATTTTTAAAAAATTTGATTTGTATTTAAATCTTTTAATATTATTAATTTTTTGTGTGTTTGTTTATGTAAGCATTTGTTTTGTTCTGGTTTTTTTTTTTTTTTTGATAAAATTTCATTAATGTTGATATTATAGTTAAAAATATTTCATTCAAATAGTGATGAATATATAGAAGTTTGAGAGAAAAAATTTTTGGAATCTTATTTTTCTATATGAAGGTTGATTTAGTCCAATATTTGCAGGTATTAGAACGAAAAAAGCTTTTCGTCTGTTAGGATAATATTTAATTTTAATGAAAAAAGGAAAAACAATAGTTTCTTTTACCAAGAAGCTTATTACCTGTTCCATTTATCATATTGTAATTGGATAAAGACGATTAATTTTAATTTAGAAAAAAAAAGTAGTTTTATCATTATCGAAAGGTTGAATGTGGTCATATAAAATGAATATTTGTAAAATCGAAACTAGTTTCATCGTAGTTTTGGTTGAATGATTGGTAGATAGAGATGCATACTTACAATTAAAATTGCATCTGTTATGGGTGTGGGTGTGACTGTATGGTTATATCTATGTCTATGTGGGTGGATGCACTGAAAACACACACCTACACTCTCAAGAGGCCATTCTCAATAATAGTAATGATACAATTGCAAAAGAATACTTATATTTCAATTGTATTAAGTCATACAGGTTTGTCTTGAGCAGGCAAGATAAAGCATCAATTAGAACTTCTTTTTTTTGTTTTTTTATTATTCAAAATCGTCAAGATTTAGTTGATATTGAATAAAACCAAAGAAGAAAAACAAATCTTCATCTTGTTAAGCAAACGTTAACTTCGAATACATTCCGTGCCTATGAATAATTTCAAAAGTGGCATACAGATTTATTTTCGATTGTAAATGTTTGAAAACAAAAACTTCTTTTCAATAAGAATATGATTTTTATTTAATTGCTTAAAAAACGTGTTTAAATGTATTAATAAAGATTAAAAGAAAAAGAAAACAGATGATATTTGATTAAAATTGAAGTTTCATTGGCTTAGGTAATTTTGTTTTGTGTTCAAGTAACATATCCGTATCCATAGCAATACCAGCACATGCCGAAAGAATATTTGTTATACATCGATGTTGTTTAAAAAGCGCATTTATAACAGGTGTACCCGGTGGAACCACGGGAGCTTTAAGAAGATACGAAAGTATTGATAAAACAGCTTCAAATGTTTGATATTCATTATCATCATTTGTTTTATATGTAATACGTGTCATTAATTCAGTTAAAATAACTAAATCAATAATTAATGGTGAAGCTAAAAGTGAATCTTCACATGTGTTATGAATAGCTATTGTATTAAGTCCATTCATAAATATTGATGATATATATTCATCCATAGCTCGTTTTGAATCTAAGAAAAAAAAAAATTTTGTTTAATTGAATTTCGAATAAAAAAGTTTTTTTTTTTCTTTTCACCTTTAACAAATGGTACATATTTAATAACAACAACATGATCAGGATGTTCATTTGTTTTTTTATCATAAAGTAAATGATTAGCTCCAACCATATCATCAACAACATTTGATTTACTTATTTCTTTGGAACGAAATTGTTGTGGTGCACTTAAATTTTTACCATCATTATTACCTAAATGATTGTATGAAACAATTGATTGAAGTTTTAAACCAGCCGAAACAAGAAAATCAGCAAGAACAGATTTTAATTTTGTTTGTCCACTTTTAAAATCATCACCACCAATAAAAACACGATGTTTATTAGCAAGATCAATTATTCCTGGTACTAATGTATTTTGTGGACTACCATTTATATATGAACAATTTTCTAAAATAGCTGCACAAGCAAATATATTTGATGGACTTATTTCATCTTCATTATCAGCAATGGATTGAAGAAGTTCTTCACTTGTTAAATTTAAACCTGGACGAACTATAAAGAAAAATCTTTTTTTTACACTAAAAAAAACAAATTCTTATTTCTTTTACCATCAACATAACGTTCGGTATTCGCTGTCCATAAAACAATAACTTGTTCTAAATTATGAGTTCTTTTAAATGTTCGAATATCATTTCGTATATGTTCTAGATCGCGTTGTTTTGTTCCTTTTGGAATTAAATTATTTGCACGATCTTCTTGATTTGCAGCAATAAAATCTGGATAATAAATTGATGGTAATGGTTTTATTTTAATCATTTTTGGTTTTAATTTTTCTTGTAATGCATAATCAAATACATACGCTCGTTGCATAGCTTCATATAAATTTGCTCCATTTATATCCCATCCACCAATAACAATATCATTTGGATGTAACATTGGTAAGATTGTATTAAATGGTATATGAACTTCTTTACCTTCATTATTACTTCCAAGACGAATAGTTGTTGATTGAGTTAATGAACCATAATAATTTGGATGTTGTTCACCCTCTAAATAAAATGTCAGTAACGTAGGATGATCGATAATGGATCTCAAATTGTTTTTCAGTGGAAACAATGTTCACCATTTGAATGCTAGTGACTAATAGAAAACTCTAGAATGGTTAAGTTTTCCAAACTGCACATTTTTATCTTGATTTTCTTAGAAAACCTTCTTTAAGATTTTGTTCAAAGTATTTTGTAACATTAAAAAAAAAAAAACAAGTGGTCAAATGTATCCTCACCTTTACGCATCCATGTAAGTTGATCTCGATTAGCAATAATAGCACCAGTAACTGTTGAACCATTATTTCCACCCCAACCTACGAGCATAACACCTGTACGTTGTACTTGACGTTTTGTACGGAAATCATATTGATATTTTCGTGGAATAATTTTAACTTCTTTTGCTTGATGATCAACTTCACAATGATTCATTTCATATAAATATTTGCTTTCAATAAATTCATTCGAATAAACTGTATTTCTACCAGCAACTTGAATTGTATAATCCGATGGTACACCTAGAAAGATAAACGAAACAAAACTGGAAAGAAAAGAAATCAATAAAGATTTGAAATTTTTACCATCATGATCAGCTGGATTAATAGCTTGATCATCTTCACTAAGTGTATTTACTTCAACAATAGCTGTTGCTTTTGAATTCAGAGATGATGTTGAAACATAACCGTTAGCTGGCATTGTTCTTTATATTTTATGCTAAAAAAGGAAATGAATATTATAAAACACAATAGTATATCCAAATCGGCGATTACTATAACAATACAACATATAATTGAAGTGTATAAATTTATACTTTTTCGATTTAGAGATCGAAAGAGACTTGATCTGAGTTACTACACTAAAAAATGCCGTATATATATATATACATATGTATGTGAATATTGAGGTCATATTAAGTGCATAGTATACATCATTGAGTTCGAGGTAAAGCATGAGAAAGAAATAAACTATTTATTTATGCTATTATTTACTTTTAACCTATCAATTTTCAGCATTAAAAATCACCCCATGCCCAATATCAAATATTTGCTTAAATTACTCGATTTTATATGAATCGAATTGATATTCTTTATGAATAGGTTTCTATTGATTTTGTATATAACTATTCTCTTTGTAAATATACTTGATCGTTTAGTGAATTCAACCGAACAACTAAATCAATATACTTCAAATGCCATAGTACCGTAATCTTAAACCAATATTGTGTTATATATTATCGAAATTATAAAAAAAGAACATTATTTATTAAGAAACTACTTAGTTCTTTGTGATTTAGGCAAAATTTGTGTTATAGAAATCAAATAATCGCACTCAGGGTACATGTATCCCCTGTTACCACCCGAAATGTTTGGTTTGTTCTTTTCGATCATCCTGTAGTTTGAATCGATCTTCATTCTCACTGAGAAAGTTTTGAGGTTCGAAATCTATTTCTGAATATAAAAAGTCTCGCGCATTGCTAGAAGAGAAGTTTTTCATGAAGAAAATGCAAAATCGAAGAAAAGTCGAGTTTTTTAAGAAAAAAATTGATCTTGAGATTTATATATATATTCTGATAGTCCGCTTGCAATGAACTTTAAGCTGTCATAACATTTTTTTTTATCAAAAGAACAAAGTTAGGTTTTTTTTTCCTGATAGCTGTTTTCGGAAGGACTCCAAGCTGAGGACTTGAAGCTTGTACTGTGTAGGTGTGGATGTGAGCTGTATGCAGTACTCGTGAAATTTTAGGATATGAAAAGCAAAATGGCGGGACAAATCAATTAAAGTCCGATTTTTTCCATCTTTACCATATGTGTACTTTTGAATCGATTTTAATCATAGATATGGAAGATAACCGCTTTTTTCGAGATTCGAACGCGAAGCTCTAATTTTTCATGATTTTTTCATTGCTTGGGTTTATTAAGCATAGAATTGTCACTAAGCTAAAGCCTAACAACGAAATTAAAGTTGGAATTCGTATATAAATTGTTTCAACTGAGATAGTCCAATTACTTCATTAATCGCTAAAATCAATTAAAAACAAAAATAATTGATTAAAGCCGATTAGAAACAAGATTAATCTATGTAAATTGATTTTCACTGAGAAAATAAATTATAATCAAATATTACATCGGATTGAATCGAAATTTTATCAATTTTTTAGCCTGTATTTTTACATGGAATACTTGATTAATTCTGACTACGATCGAGATTGCTCAAAAAGAAGTTGCCGACGCCCGACGGGACCTGGACCAAAAATTCTTGATCCCGCACATGTCTATATCGTCGACTAAAGAACTCAAAAAAACGAGAATTGAAGAATTTTTTTTTATATGTGACATCAATAAATTCTGCAATAGTTTTCTCTAAACTGAGACAAATAACATAAAAACTAAAATCACTGGGGCTGGGGCCAGAATCAAAAATAAAACTTTACCGTCATCGGGATCGAAACTAACAAAACTTGATTCCTCACATCTCTACGCGGGATCCTACTCACATTCCACTCTGTCTAGCTTTAATAGGGCTAGAATACTAAAAAAAAGCAGATCTTTTACCAATTAGCAAAATATTGTGTT